TCAAGGGAAGGGCCAAGACTGTCTAAAGTCTAGAGTCTGTTTGTGTCTGTGCTTGGGACAGCTGACCAGACCCCAGCGGGGACCAGAGGCAGTGAGGAAGGGCGAGCGGCCACCCTGCCCAGCCCAGCCTCCCCCTGGGGCTGCTATGTGGGGAATGCCATGCCTGACTGTCCAGATGACCGATGGCCAGACTCAGGTCAGGGAGGGGAAGGCAGGGCAAGGGGCAGCCCGATGTTTCCACCCGGCCTGGGCAAAGCTCCACTTCCCGCCAGGACCCTGACATGGTCCCTCCTCCCCATCCTGTGCCCACCTCCCCAGGGCCTGGGAAGTAGCTCCCCACTGGCCCTCATCTGAGAGGTCTTGCCCTGCGTCCTGAGACCCCCAAAAGCAGGTTGCCAGGCAGTTTCCATGCTGACCTCCTCGTGTGCCCTCTGTCCCTCTGATGTGGGAATGCTGGCCCAGCCATTCCTGTGGGCACAGGGCATCCAGGGTCATGGTGGAGACAGGAGTAGCCATGTCTTCACTTCACGGATGGGACCCTGAGGCCCGAGGACATCGCGTAGCTTGTTCAAGGGCAGGACCAGTCCATGACGGGGCTCTGCGGACCCTCTCCCCACTTGGAACCCCTGCTGTCTCATTGGGCTCTGGCCTGAGGAACCTCTGGGGGTCCTGCCCCTCAGTCCCAGCATAGTCTTGTGGACAGCCTGTTCCTGTCCTCATTTCCAGGTGTCCTAGTGACATCGGACACTTGGCAGCCCGCCTGCTATGCCTGTTACTGACTGTCTCTGACAGGTGCTGACTGGGGCAGGAGCTTGATGCAGCTCCAGTGGAGCTGGGATTTTTGTTTTTTGTTTTTTTTTTGAGTTGGAGTCCACTCTCACACAGACTGGAGTGCAGTGGTGCCATCACGGCTCACTGCAGCCTGGACATCCTGGGCTCAGGCAATCCTGCCTCAGTCTCCCTAGTACCTGGGTCTACAAGTGTACACCACCACACCCAGCTGTTTTTTTTTTTTTTTTTTTTTTTGTAGAGATGAGATCTCACTAGGCTGGTCTCGAACTCCTGGGCTCAAGCAATTCTCCTGCCTCAGCCTCCCAAAGATCTGAGATTACAAGCATGACCCACCACGCCCAACCAGGGACTGCTTTTAAGGTCAGGGCTGGGCCACACTCTGTCAGGACAATTTTGGAACTGGGGTGCCCGGTGCCCACCCTTTGGGTTGGCTTTGATGAGAAGAAGCAGGAACAAAGGGCAGGGGACCCAAAGCAGCTTTGTATGCTTGCCAGACATTGGCTGAGTAGGGAAGAGTCATTCCCTGTGCCCCTCTCTAGGGCCATCCTCTCTTCCTGTCCTCAGGCTGTCCCTTGCTCCACCCTATGGCCTCTGAGCTGGCTCTTCTTCCCATGCTGCCAACAATAGGGCTCGCTCTAAACAAAGCCCCCCCCATTCAACTCCAAAACCCGCCCTGTCTCTGTCTCTGCCCGTCTCTGGCCAGCGTGTGTGGGCAGGGCCCACGTCTGTCTCTCCCACTTCCACCCCAACTCTGACCAGGGGTTATTTCGGAAGGTCTGACTCCAGATCCAAGGTAGGGAGGGAAGAGACCAAACTGGGTGCGGCCTCCTCCACCCTGGGAACTGTAAAACCAGCACTTCTGTTTCTTGTGAACTTCCCTGGTCCTCCTAGGGAGTAGGTAAGGAGGAAGGTGGGGCCGGTTGACAGTACTGCCTGAAGTCTGACTTGCAGCCTTCCTGTTGCAGCTCTGCCCATGATCTTCTTCAGAGGGGTTCCTCTCTGGACTTTGTCCACCCCTCAGCCTCCTCTCATCCACTATGGGAATGTTGGTTCCTTATCCCTAGGATCTTAGACATCAACATTCCCTTGGGATCATCTGGGTCAACTTATCTGCAGATAAAGCCCTGAGAGGGAAAGTTACCGCCCAAAGACACACAACAGATTGATGGCAGAGCTGAGGGAGAACCTGGGATTCCTCTTTTTTTTTTTTTTTTTTACCCGGTCTAGAGGCAGGGTTTCACTCTGTCACTCAGGCTGTAGTGCAGTGGCATAATTGCAGCTCACTGCAGCCTCAACCTCCTGAGTAGCCAGGACTACAGGTGTATGCCACCACACCTGGCTGATTTTTCTTTTCTTTTCTTTTTTGAGTGGGAGTCTCCCTCTGTTGCCCAGGCTGGAGTGCAGTGGCACACTCTTAGCCACTGCAGCCTTGACCTGCTGGACTCAGGCAATCCTTCCGCCTCAGCCGTCCAAGTAGCTGGAACCACAGGTGCATGCTACCACGCCCGGCTAATTTTGACTTTTTGATTTGTTTGTAGAATCAGGGTCTTGCTTTGTTGCCCAATCTGGTCTTGAACTCCTGGCCTCAAAAGATCCTGCTGCCTTGGTCACCCAAAGTGTTGGGATTGTGCCTGGCAAACTTGGGACTCTTGATCTGCAGCTGGATGCTCTTCCTCTATCAGCAAGCACCTGGGCCATCTCGGCCCCCTCCTGTCCTTGCAAGAGGATGCAGGTCGCACTGAGGCAACTCTGAGTTTGGGCAGAGTGCCACTATTTTCTCAGTGTGAAGTCTCCTTTTCCCCATCTAGAAATTGGGAATGATAACATTAAAAATACAATAAAATAAATTGGGAATAATAAAAACCCAGTGCCAGGGTTGCTTGGAGGGAAGAATGAGTTTAAAGGCAGCTAAATACTCTCCCCTCCATGGTATCCTTTGGCCTCTGAGTGGCCTCTGTTCCTTCCTGGGCAGATGTCCAGCCCTCAGTGTCCCTTAGCTGCAGTCCTGGGCTAGTGGCGCCACGAAGGGCCTGCTGACACAAGCTCCTCGCCTGTAGCCAGTCTTGACCTTGGCAGTTCCTTTAGATACAGGGCTGGTGAGGGCATGGTCCCTGTGGCTGAGGGGGGAACTGGCTCCCCTCTGACTCGGCTGAGAAGCCCCGGGGTTAGGCACTGTCCCAAATGAGGATGACTCTCTCTGGGGTCATGCCTGTAATCCTGGCACTTTGGGAGGCGGGGAGGCGAGAGGATTGCTTGAGCCCAGGGGATTGAGACCAGCCTGAGCAATATGGCAAGACCTCGTCTCTACAGTAATTCAAAAAATTAGCCAGACATGATGATGTGTGCCTGTGGTTGCAGCTACTTGGAAAACTAAGGTGGATCACCTGAGCCCAGCAGGTGGAGGCTGCGGTGGCTGTCAGCATGCCACTGCACTCCAGCCTGGGTGACAGAGTGAGATTCTCGCTCAAGAAAAAAGTTAGTGTTATTGATGGGGCCGAAGACGTCCAGATGTTTGTTCGGCCTAGGAGGGTGACATTCAGAGGGTCAATGCCACTGTGTTTACTGACACAGGATACCTTCTTCTCCAGTGTGTGGTTGTCTAATTCTCTCCCTTCTCCCTGGGGGTGGCTCATGGGACTGGATTGCTCTCCCAGACTCTCCTCTGCCCTCGCTTGGGACCCACCCTTTGGGCAGGGGAAGGACAGTGGGATTGTCCCGGTCTGCCTTCTCCTAGCCCCCTGCTGTGGGGGGAGGGGCACAAGAGGAGGGGAGGTCCTCCTGAAATAGCTGCAGGAGCAGCTGTGCACATCTGGCACCGGAGCGTGCTGTCTGGTGTTCTGGGCCTGCTCCTGTTTATCAGCTCGAAACTCTGAGTCACTCGGGATGGCGGGAGGAGAGGCAGAGGCAGCTGGGAGCCGGCCCTGCCTCTGCCTGTCCCAGGTGTGCTCACAGCCTGCCGTAAAAGGCAGGGAGACCTGAAGGACCATGCGTCATCCTCCTGGAGGGTGGCACTGGGGCTGTCACGGGGAAGATGAGGCCCTGCTACCCTTTGTTCCTGGGGAGGGGCCAGGTTGTCTCAGCCTCCCCGCCCTCACCCGGCCCCCATCACAGTGGGACAGCCGGTTTGAGGATTTGGGATGCTGAGTGTTGCCTGGCTTCCTGGGTGGACCAGCCTGGGGTCTGGTGGCTCTCAGAGGCTGCGCTGGGATGTGCAAAGGGCTTCAATGTCACCTTGTGCCTGTGTCTGGTCTCAGCTTTGCTATTTCTAGCCTCAGTTTCCCACATCTGTCAATGGGAGAACAGAGCATGTGCTTTTCGTGTTTTTTTTTTTTTTCCTCAAGTCAGAGTCTCTCTCTGTCGCTCAAGCTGGAGTGCAGTGGCACGCTCATGGCCACCACAGCCTCTACCTACTGGGCTTAGGCGATCCTTCCACCCCAATCTTCCAAGTAGCTGGAACTACAGCCACCACGCCTGGCTAGTTTTTTTATTTATTGTAGAGACAAGGTCTAGCCAAATTGCCCAGGCTGGTCTCGAACCCCTGGGGTCAGGCAATCCTCTCGCCTCCCAAAATGCTGGAATTAGATGGAAGAGATGGGAATTGCCTGGTGGGGAGTAACTGAGATTCGGACCAGTCTGGGGGACTCAGAGTGCTGGAAATGGCTTCTGGGGTCTAGGGGCTAGAAGGGTGGGGGACCTTGGGGCTTGGGCCTCTGGGGCCACTTGGGATCTGACCCAACCTGCAGGAAAGCAGGATCCATCTCCAAAGGCGCCTGGGGCCGGAACTCCACAGAAACCTGTCCCACAACTTCCCTGCCACGCCCAGTTTCCGCCTGATGGCCTGGGTGCCTCCTCACCTCTGCAGCCTATCCTGGGGGTGAGGGTGGATCCAGGGGACCCCAGATGCTGCTGGAAGCTCCGAGGGTGGGGTCAGGCCACAGGGTGAGCAAGTCCAGGGCGGGTGGGGGCGTCTGGCCCTTTCTGCCCCTCTCCTGGGAGATCAGAGACACAAGCCCAGGCCCCTCGAAGCCAGCGCCCCTGCTGCACTGACTGCAGGGTATCTCATTGTGGGCAGCCCCGCCCTGGCTGGGGGCCCTCTGGCACCTCCATCCTGCTGCCCATGGGGGCTATTTCAGACATGGTGGGGGAGGGGGAGACAGGCAGGGCCTTGTGTCGGGTGCCTGCTCTCTGACTTCCTCCTGTGTCCCCAGCAGCTGCGATGGAGGTGATGAACTTGATTGAGCAGCCCATCAAGGTGACCGAGTGGCAGCAGACGTACACCTATGACTCGGGCATCCATTCGGGCGCCAACACTTGTGTGCCCTCCGTCAGCGGCAAGGGCCTCGTGGAGGATGATGAGGCCTGTGGGCGCCAGTATACACTCAAGAAGACCACCACCTACACCCAGGGGGTGCCCCAGAGCCAAGGTCAGGGCCACTGGCTGGACCTTGGGAAGAAGTCAGAGTGAAAGGAGGCAGATCGTAGGGGCCTGGGTCTGAGGGGGAGGCACAATTTCTATTCTTACAGGCCAGTGTAGTTTAGGGGGCCCAGCTCAGGCTCACAGGGGCCCACATGGTCTGAGGGAGGAGGCACAGCTAGTTCTGGACTCTGCACTGGGAGGGGCTTCAGCGTGGTGGGAAGGCCTAGACTCCAGCCCCTCCCGACATGGAGGGGCCTCTGGGCAGGGCAGGGCCAGGCAGCACCAAAGTGGGAAAGCCAGGTGTCTCTTTCTCCATTCATTAGAGGGTGGAACCTCTCCCCGGGGCACTGTGCCAGGGTGGGGCCGCCTGGGTACCCATTTATGGAACTCCCGGGTCCACCCAGAGGCTGGAAGCTGGAGGGAGCCTGGAGCCTTGGCTGAGGCCCCAGGAAGCTCAGCCCCTGCCTTCCCTGTGACGCACTGTGGGAAGTTGGTGGCTCTATGGGCCTGCCTGTGTAGTGGGAGCATTGCTGCTTTCGGGGATGATGAAGTATAATTAGAATTGTGAGAGTTCAGGGTTGAAAGAAACCTGGAGTGTCTCACCCCGTTGCCCACCTGATGGTTAAGGGAGAAGATAGAGCAGGCCACCTTAGCCCTCTCTGCTGTTTTCCCATCTATGAGGTGGAGCCAGTGATAGTCAGATGAAATGAGGTCATATAAGAACAGCACCTAATCCACTGCCAGGCACACTCAAGTGTTCAAAACTGTTAACTATTTATTTTTTTTTTTGAGTCAGAGTCTCACTCTGTTGCCCAGGTTGGTGTGCAGTGGGACACTCACAGCCACCGCAGCCTGGACTCGCTGGGCCCAGGCGATCCTTCTGCCTGAGCCTTCCAAGTCACTGTAACTACAGGCGCGCACTACCACACTCGACTTACTTTTTGATTTATTGTAGAGATGAGGACTTGCCAAGTTGCCCAGGCTGGTCTGGAACCCCTGAGCTTAGGCAGTCCTCTCACCTCGGCCTCCCAAAGTGCTGGGATTACAGGCTTGAGCCACCATGCCCAGCCTAGCTGTTCTTATTAAATATGATGGTAGCTAACATTTTTGTAGTGACACGTGCCAGGCAGACAAAGAGCTTTTCAGGGCAGTTTATGATGATTATCTCGTTTACTTGTCATGAGAATTTCCTGTGGGGAACAGAACAGGTGGGGGCCCATTTCACAGATGAGGCGATGGTGACCTCCCCGAGGTCCTTGGTTAGAGGCAGAGTTGCGAGGAATGCACTGGCTTTGGGCAGGGAGGGAGGCAGCCCAGGGGGCCGGGGGGGGCCATCTTAGTGGCCTGTCCTGCTCCCTGTTGTCCCCCAGCCCCGCTCCCACCCTGCCCTGTGTCCCCCTGCCCGCCTCCTGCACTCAGTCCCTGCCCTGTCGGCCCCCAGGTGACCTGGAATACCAGATGTCCACGACGGCCAGAGCCAAGCGGGTGCGTGAAGCCATGTGCCCTGGCGTGTCGGGCGAGGACAGCGCGCTGCTGCTGGCCACCCAGGTGGAGGGGCAGACCACCAACCTGCAGCGGCTGGCTGAGCCATCCCAGCTGCTCAAGTCGGCCATCGTGCATCTCATCAACTACCAGGATGACGCTGAGCTGGCTACCCGCGCCCTGCCCGAGCTCACTAAGCTGCTCAATGATGAGGACCCGGTGTGTGAGGGGCCCGGCCAGGGTGGGGGTGGGGAGAAGAGAGGGCAGGTGTGGCTGGGGGAGAGATATTTTAGGGGTGAAGGGGGTCATGACCCAGACCACACCCCACATGGGTGAGGAATTTGACTTGGATCCACCTGAGCTCTGTGGAAGGGTCTCCCGGTGCTTCCTTCCTGGGCTCAGGCAGTCCTGCGTCAGCCTCCTGAGTAGCTGGAACTACAGGCACATGCCAGCAGACCTGGCTAGTTTTCTTATTTTTTGTAGAGATAGGGGTCTCGCTATGTTGCCCAGTCTGGTCTCGAACTCCTGGCCTCTGCTTATGTCCCCTGTCCTCCTGCCTTGCCCTCCAGGTGGTGGTGACCAAGGCAGCCATGATTGTGAACCAGCTGTCGAAGAAGGAGGCATCGCGGCGGGCCCTCATGAGCTCGCCCCAACTGGTGGCAGCTGTCGTGCGTACCATGCAGAACACCAGCGACCTGGACACGGCCCGCTGTACCACAAGCATCCTGCACAACCTCTCCCACCACCGCGAGGGGCTGCTGGCCATCTTCAAGTCGGGCGGCATCCCAGCCTTGGTCCGCATGCTCAGGTACCCAACCCACTCACCTCCGGACCAGCGCCCCCTCAGTGGGGCTTCCCCCTCCCTTCCTGGGCTTTCATAAACACCCATGGAGCTCCTACTGTGTGCTGGGGTAGAATCACACCCCATCCTGGTGCTAGTGCCTCGCAGCCCAGCAGGGGAGACAGGCATGTAAACAGCCAGTTATCAGGATACGAAGTGGGTCACGACAAAAGAGCATTGAGATTCCTTAGATTGTTATGGCAGGGAGTTGGCAGATGAGTGGAGTCTGGACAGTGTTGTGGAAGGTAAGAGTGTTCTTGGCAGATGGAACAGCATGTGCAAAGTCCCTTGCAAAATTTCTTTTTCCTGCTCTCCTACTAATGTTGCTTGGCCTCGTTGTCCCTTTTTTTTTGAGTCAGAGTCTCTGTTGCTCAGGCCGAAGTGCAGTGGCACACTCATGGCCACCGCAGCCTTGACCTGCTGGGCTCAGGTAATCCTTTCTGCCTCAACCTTCCAAGTAGCTGGAACTACAGGTGTGCTCCAACATGCCAGCCTAATGTTTTTGGTTTACTGTAGAGACAAGGTCTCAATAAGTTGCTCAGGCCGGTCTCAAACCCCGGGGGTCAGGTAATCCTCATACCTCAGCCTCCCAAAGTGTTGGGATTACAGGTGTGAGCCACTGTGCCTGGCCCATCCTCCTTTCCATACCAGACTGGGAGCTCCCTGGAGGCAGACATGCCGACTTCGCTCCCCTCCAAGCACCCTGTGGTCCCTAGCACGTGGCCTTCGTGTGGTTGTCACTCAGAGGGACAAGTGTCAGGGGGCTAGAGTGCGCTCAGCCCCAGGCTGGGGCCCAGAGGCAGAAGGAGTCCCGGCCCTGTGGGAAGAGGAGAGATGCTGCTTACTCTGTGCCCATGGGTGGGGCTGGGCTCAAGGGGGGCAAGGAGATTTTAGCAGAAGGGCATGTGCAGAGGGGTGTCAGTGTGGGGGAAGGCTTCCTGGGTGAGGTGGGGATCGCCCATGCCAGGCCCCTGCGGCCCGACTGGTGCTAACCCCTGCCCAACTCCCAGCTCCCCCGTGGAGTCGGTGCTGTTCTATGCCATCACCACGCTACACAACCTGCTGCTGTACCAGGAGGGCGCCAAGATGGCGGTGCGCCTGGCGGACGGGCTGCAGAAGATGGTGCCGCTACTCAACAAGAACAACCCCAAGTTTCTGGCCATCACCACCGACTGCCTGCAGCTGCTGGCCTACGGCAACCAGGAGAGCAAGGTGGGCCCTGCCCAAGGCCAGACCCGGGTCCATGCTTGTGTGTTGTGTCCCCCTCCATCCTGCCATTGTCTCGGGCCATTGCCCCTTATTCCTTTTTTTTTTTGAGTTGGAGTCTTTACTTTGTCCCCCAGGCTGAAGTGCAGTGCTATGCTTATGGCCACCGCAGCCTCAACCTGCTGGGCTCAGGTTATCCTTCTGCCTCAGCCTTCCAAGTAGCTGAAACTATGGGCACGTGCCACCATGCCCAGCTAATTTTTTGATTTATTGTAGAGATGAGGTCTCACCAAGTTGGCCAGACTGGTCTCGAACCCCTGGGCTCAGGCAATCCTCTCACCTCAGCCTCTCAAAATGCTGGGGTTATAGGCGTGAGCCATTGCACCTGGCCTCCATATTTTTAAAACCTTTTTTTTGTTGTTGTATTGTCCTTAAAATCACCCTGTATAGTGGTAGATAACATTTCATTTAGTGGACATCCCAGACTTTATTCTGAGGAAGGTCATTTGGATTGCCATCAATTTCCCACTTTTAATTAATTAATTAATTTTCCACCTTTATTTTATTTTATTTTTGAGTTGGAGTCTCACTCTGTCACTCAGACTGGAGTGCAGGGGCCACTCCCAGCTACCGCAGCCTCGATCTGCTGGGCTCTGGTGATCCTTCCGCCTCAGCCTTCCAAGTAACTAGAACTACAGACGCTTGCTACCACGACCGGCTAATTTTTTTTTTTTTTTTTTTGATTTATTGTAAAGATGAAGTCTCGTCAAGTTGCCCAGGCAGGTCTCGAACCTGCAGGCTCAGGCAATCCACTCAACCTCGGCCTCCCAAAGTGCTGGGATTACAGGCTGAGCCACCAAGCCCGGCCAGTTTTCCACCTTTATAAACAATGCTATAATGAACATCTTCAGGCACACAGCTTTTCTCAAAGTGTGGAAAATTTTTATCAGTGGGGCTAAAGTTTTTTTTTTTTTTGAGTCAGAGTATTACTCTGTTGCCCAAGCTGGAGTGCAGTGGCACACTCACGCCTACTGTAGCCTTGACCTGCCGGGCTCAGGTGATCCTTCTGCTTCAGTCTTCCAAGTAGCTGGAACTATAAGCATGCGCCACCACATCCAGCTAATTTTTGGTTTATTGTAGAGATGAGGTCTCTCCAAGTGGCCCAGGTTGTGCTTGAACCCGTGGGTTCAGGCCACCCTGGTGTCTCAGCCTCCCAAAGTGCTGGCATTACAGGCTGAGCCACTGAGCCCAGCCCCAGATTGATTTCTAAAAGGACTGGACTGGTCACTGTAGCTCACGCCTGTAATCCCAGCACGGTTGGGAGGTCGGTTGGGAGGTCGAGACAGGAAAAACGCTTGAGGCTAGGAGTTTGAGATCAGCCCAGGGCAGCATAGCGAGATGCTGTCTCTGGAAAAAAATTTTTTAAATTAGCCGGATGTGGTAGGGCATGCCTGTAGATCAGCCTCCTTGGGAGGCTGAGGGAGGAGTTTGAGCCTGCAGAGCTATGATAATTCCATTGTACTCCAGCCTGGGTGACAGAGTAAAACCCTGTCTCTAAAAAAATAAAATAAATAGGCTGGTTGTGGTGGCTTACTCTGGAGGCTGAGGTGGGAGGATTGCTTGAGCCCAGGAGTTCGAGAGCAGCCTGGGCAACATAGCAAGACCTCATCTCTATATTTTAATAATAATAATAACATAAATAAAATGACTGGTTTAATTTCCAGTAATATCAGTGGTCATGGTTGTGAGTACAGTTTCATCACATCCTTGTCAGCATTGGGTTTTATCCTTTTTTTACAATTTTGACTTACATAAGAGTCACAGAACTATTCAGCTTTTAGTTAATGCTTAGCAACAACAGCTCTGTCCCCTACTCCCTCTTCTTTATTCCTTGTCCTGTTCCGCGTCTGTCTCACCCTCATGCCCCCTCCCCCCATAGCTGATCATCCTGGCCAACGGAGGACCCCAGGCCCTTGTGCAGATCATGCGTAACTACAGTTATGAGAAGCTGCTGTGGACCACCAGCCGCGTGCTCAAGGTGCTGTCTGTGTGTCCCAGCAATAAGCCTGCCATCGTGGAGGCCGGTGAGTATCACAGCCTTGAGGGTGGCTGGACTTGGTCAGCTGTATACCCCTGTGGCTGATGGGATCCTGTCCCCCACCCCAGGTGGGATGCAAGCTCTGGGCAAGCACCTGACCAGTAACAGCCCCCGCCTTGTGCAGAACTGCCTGTGGACCCTGCGAAATCTCTCAGACGTGGCCACCAAGCAGGTGAGGGTGGTGTCTGGACCTGGGGTCGGCCTTTTCAGCTGCCTTGGGCGTCAGACGTGGTGCTGTGGAAGGACTGGGGCCTCTTCGTCTGCCTCCCTTGTGGCTAAGGCCGGGAATGCCCTGAAGACCTTTTAGCTGAAGGCTTTGATCCCTGTTAGGAGTCTGGGAAGGGAGAAGGAGGAGGATGGAGGCTGATTTTAAAAAAAAAACATTTTTTTAGGCCAGGTGCAGTGGCTCATGCTTATACTCCCAACAGTTTGGGAGGCCAAGGTGAGAAGATTGCCTGAGCCCATGGGTTCGAGACCAGTCTGGGCAACTTGGTGAGACCGCATCTCTACAATAAATAAAAAAAATTAGCCAGTCATGGTGACATGTGCCTGTATTTCCAGCTATTTGGAAGGGTGAGGCAGAAGGATTGCCTGAGCCCAGCAGGTTGAGGCTGCGGTGGCTGTGAGCATGCCACTGCACTCCAGCCTGGGCGACAAAGTGAGACTCCAACTCAAAAAAAAAAGAACAACCAAAAAATAAAACAAAACAAAAAACCATATTTGAGACAGGATCTCGCTCTGTCATCCAGGCTGGAGTACAGGGGCATAATTGTAGCTCACTGCAGCCTGATCCTCCTGGGCTCAATTGATCTTCTTACCTCAACCTCTCAAGTAGCTGGGACTACAGACATGCACCATTATTATGTGCCCAGCTAAATTTTTTTTTTTGGTAGAGAGGGGTCTTGCTATGTTGCTCAGTCTGGTCTCAAACTCCTGGCCACAAGCGATCTTCCAGCCTCAGTCTCCCAAAGTGCTGGGATTACAGGCATGAGCTGGAGGTCGATGTTATTAAGCTGGGGCCACGTGGCAGCAGATCAGACAGTTTTGAGCTGGACCTGGGAACGGGAGCTGTAATGTGCCCAGAGACAGCTTGAGGTCCTGGTGGCTAAAACTACAGTAACTCCAGATGGGTCCCCCAGTCCCTCCTTCCAGCAAGACCCCCTAAGAGCCTCCCCATCCCTTGTGCTGGCACTGTGCTTGAACTCTTTCAGCAACCTGGAGGTAGAGTGTGGGACCCTGCTGGTTAGAGGAAGATACTTGAGTCTCTGGGAGTTAGGTGATGGCCTGTGGTCACAGTTCATAAACAGCAGAACTGGGATATGAACCCAGGACTGTCTGTTCCCAAAACTGGGGTCTTTCTGTCCCATATGGCTCTTCCTAGAAAAGTGAGGCTTTTGAATTTTCCTGAAAGTCAATGGCCGGATGTGGTGGCTCATACCTATAATCACGGCACTTTGGGAGACTGAGGCTCAAGGATCGTCTTGCAGTAAATAAAGAAAAATTAGCCTGGTGTGGTGGCACGTGCCTGTAGTTTCAGCTACTTGGAAGGCCGAGGCAGAAGGATAGCTTGAGCCCTGCAGGTTAAAGGTGTGGTGGCCATGAGTGTACCACTGCACTCCAGCCTGGGTGACAGTGAAACTCTGACTCAAAAAAAAAAAAAAAGAAAAGAAAAGAAAGAAACAAAGTCAACTTGGCTTAGGGCCTTTTGGGAAGTGTAGGGGCAGCAGTGAAACCCCAGAAAGGTGAGAAGCGTGTGGATCAGCTTGGCCACGGAGGCATGGATCCCCTCAACAACTGCCTCCTGGCCTAGAGGCCTCTGTTGGCCTCCATACCCTTGGCCTGAGTCTGAGGGTCTTGGGTCTGTGGGCAGGCCCCCCCCCCACCCTCTCTGAGCCTCAGTGCCTCCTTTGCTTGCTCTGAGGGATGGTAACACCCTTCACTGATGTGTAGGTCACGGGTCATGAAGGCTCCCAGGCTGGCACAGGCAGGGCCAGCCCCTGTGGGCACCTGCTCCCCTCGGACATATCCTGGAAGGCTTCTGGGAGTTGTCGTCTCACTTCCCTCCCTCCTGCCCCCAGGAGGGCCTGGAGAGCGTGCTGAAGATTCTGGTGAACCAGCTGAGCGTGGATGATGTCAACGTCCTCACCTGTGCCACCGGCACACTGTCCAACCTGACGTGCAACAACAGCAAGAACAAGACGCTGGTGACGCAAAACAGCGGCGTGGAGGCGCTCATCCACGCCATCCTGCGTGCCGGTGACAAGGACGACATCACTGAGCCTGCCGTCTGCGCCCTACGCCACCTCACCAGCCGCCACCCTGAGGCTGAGATGGCCCAGAACTCCGTGCGCCTCAACTATGGCATCCCGGCCATCGTAAAGCTGCTCAATCAGCCCAACCAGTGGCCCCTGGTCAAGGTACCTGGGGGCGAGGGGTGGAGCTTTGGGTGGGTGAGGGGCGGAACTCCCGGTGACTGAGGGACAGAACTTTTGGTGGGTGAGGGGAGGGACTTTGGGTAGGCGAGGGGCAGAGCTCCTGGTGGGCAAGAGAGGAGCGCCCTGCAGCTGGTGAGGCACCCTGTGGGTGCAGGTGAAGTGGTTGTGGCAGCAGACCCCCAGGTACAGTGGCCCGGAGAAGACAAGGAATTTATTTCTCTCATACAACAGTGGGGCCCTCAACAACTGATCCAGAGTCCTACTTTTTTTTTTTTTTTTTTTTTT